AGGATTGAATATGAAAACAACCTACTCTGGTTAGGCGGGTCCAAACTACATAGTAAATTGTGATTTTTTATTTGTATTATCTCGTGCTTTGTAGTTGAATAAAAATATGAAAAAATATGAAATATAACTGTGTTTAATGTTTAAGTATCTCAATGATGTATGTATCTTCTCAATATATGTACTAGGCTTTAAGGGCGCTTCGCGCCCATCCCCAATTTCAATTGCATTTGTAAAACAATAACAAACAAGTTTGCTGATTAAAAAAAATAAATTAGTGGACTCTCATAATTTTATAAAAATCGAAATTTGTTGGAAGCAAAATTTTAAAATTTTGATTATCCATAAACCTTCCCTGGGGTCACGTGATGTTCCACACAAAATTTGGTCGTGATCGGTTCAGCCGTGTTGACGTTTATTGGATACAAAGAAACAAACAAACAGACAACCAAAGTTTATATGGGTACACTAGGCTTTTGGGGCGCTTCGCGCCTATCTTCTATTTCAATTGTGAACATATCGTACATTGTAAAATAAAAACAAAAAGTAAAAAAATGGATTTTTAATTTTGTAAGAGGCAAATATGTGAAAATTCGATAATCCATAAACATTCCCTGGGGTAACGCGAGGTCCCACAAAAAACTGTGGGCCCGTTCGGTTCAGGCGTTTTGACGTTAATTGGATACAAACAGACAGACAGACAAGCAAAGTATATATATAAACTAACTAGTCTTTCAAATTACGTTGATTTTCAAAATTTTCAAAATCCAATTTAGTTAGAGGCCAATTTTTGAAAATTCGATTATCCATGAACCCTCCCTGGGGTCACACGAGGTCCAACAAAAAAAATTGGGCCCGATCAGTTCAGCCGTTTTGACGTTTTTTTTGGACATTAACAGACAGACAACCAAAGTAAGATATAGATAGATAGAAAACTTTGTTTTAATAAGGTAGTGTGTTAATATAACTTAATGTTTAAATGTTTAACTAATCCAATACTGTATGTATAAGTTCAGAACATTTTCCTTTGTTTATTAAGAAAGATTATTATTGTACAGAGTGCTTCATGTTTAGACATTCTTCAGCATCAATACATAGAAAGTAATAATATATGTTTGTTTGTCTGACTATTATTTGTATGTCCAATCATAACTCATGAACTCCATGATCGATTTGTCTCATAATTGGAGAACTCGGCAATACCATGGGAATGTTCTTAGCTTGGTTTAAAGATTTAAAGTTGAGTAAGTTGACTTACAGAGAAAGGTTAATTGTTAGTCTAAGCTGGGTTTCCAACCAAGTATAAAAAAAATTATGAAAAACTCACTCAACCTCTTACCACCGAGAGTTTAAGCTATATATGTTACAGCTTTCTTTCTTATTCAATAAACTACAATTAGATCTATGATAGGGATATACATTTCCCCAAAATCAATAAAACTATGATATTCAATAAAAATATTAAAAAACTGGGTGAAGGGCCCGGCGTTGCCCGTGGAAAAAAGTTGAGAATTTTTTTTTTCGATGAGTGTCCACTAAAAATTTCAGCCCATTCGGTCCAGCCGTTTGGCTGGCTTTAGGCAATATATATATATATATATATATATATATATATATATATACGAATGTCCTGTTTTTATTATATAGATAATACGTGATGAAAATTGAATCGAAAAAAATCGTGTTTGGTCTAGTTCAACTATTTTTAAACTAACCGATTTTCTTATTTCATTTTTTTTTTATTTAGTTAGATGCTGAACATAGAGTAAAAAAGAGAAAATGTGTTTCCAAAAAATGCTGAAAATGATAAGAAGTAAAATTTAAAAAAACCAAGATTTTTTAAGACAAGCTTATTCCTGATTTTTTAACATGCTTTTGTAAGCACGTCAATTCAAATATCGCTAAAAACTTAGGTTTTAAAAAGAAACTGCGACATTCTGTGATTATGAATTATTTAAATTTATTCAGTAAAAAGCCTGATATGTAAATACTTAGCATTAGAATTTTGCAAATATGGGAGGAACAATATATATCAATTTTTAAAATATTTGAAATATTTAAAATATTTATGGTTTCCTTGACACCAGTGTTGATCAGTTTGACTTTCTCCTTGTTGTTCTCAACTAGAAAAATATAAATTTTTACGATAAAATAATACACATTTTTTGTTGTTGTGTTAAATTGCTGGATTAAATGAAATGAAATTAAATCAGACTTCTAATCAATCCTGATTAACTATTTACTTAAAATTACTTTTACACTTCCGTTTAGCACGAATCTAATATTGTTTGTACTGCGTGGTATTTACTTCAGGGGACATAAGTTCTAAAACTAACAAATTGAAAGACTGGGGTTTAGGGATCCCAGCCCATATCCAGAGTAAAAGTCGATAATAAAAACTATGAGCAACATTTTATTAAGCATGACGAGTACAACAATTCCCAATTAAAAACTAGTTTATTAAATTAAAATTATAAAAGTAGTTCTATTAAAAACCTTGACCGTTTACAAGACAATGTCATTTTCTTACATATCCTGAATTTGAAACATTGTCGCGTTTTTGAGACAAACCCAGCTTTCCCGTTTTTGAGTATAATCCACTTTTCAGAACAAAGCTCACTTTCATAACTTACAAAATACATCACTGAAAGTAAAAATTTTCTTATGAAGACTAAATTAACTGCTGAATTATTTCTAAAATCTTAATTTCTAGATTTTAGTTGTTAAATGAGAGAAAAAATTTAATTTCATTTCCCGCATTCTAAATAAACAATTTCCCAGATTTCTAGTTTAATCTATATTGTAAGAACAAGATAATATAAAAGTTTTGATTTTTAAATCATAAAAAACAGTATTTTTTGTTTTCAAATTTTGCTTATATTTTACCTTATCAAAATATGTAAGTGCGTAAATGCTTGAAAATTGAAATTGATATGAATTCGAGTAATTGTCTCAAAACCAGGATATGTTCCGAAAACACGAAATAGGCTTAAATGCGGTAATTGTTTAAAAATAGTGATATGTTCGAAAATGAAAACCAATATCATCAATAACTAATTCTCACATCTTAATATTAGTTTAAAGTTGACATTTCTTGTTTCGATAGTTTTAGCAATTTTTAATAAATGTTTGGTGTAGTTTTGACAACTCCACTTGGATTTAAAGATATATACGCTGGAAAAAGATAACTTTGCAGATTTGGCCCATTTTTAACACTTGGTGATAGAAATGGGCCAAGTGTTAGTTTTGGAACTAATTTCCCTTGTAATATTTATTATTCTAATTTATCAAAGACAGCTTTTTTGAAAAAAAATATTTGTAAGTTAAAACCCCTTTGGCCCCTATTCTCATTACCCCGTCATTCTTTTTCTATTTTTAATCTTAATTTTTGATGCGAGGAAATTCTAAATTTGGCTGAATTCATTTCAAATTTCTAGATAGAATCTTAAAACTTTTAAAAACTTTTAACAAAAGATTTCCTATTTGACAAGATCAACTCAACTGTTAACTAAACTAACTTGTTCAAAAAATGTATAAAATTTCACAAGGATGAATGACCAGGCTCCAGGTACAGTGTTACCCATAAAGGATGAGACTTCAGAGACGACTGTGCGCAATTTATACTGCTTGTTTCCTTATATTCATGATATCCTGCAACTGTAAAATGGGTTCTTTCTTTGAAAATTCTTTAAATATTTATCACAGATAATTAAACATTGGAAACTTCATATTTGAAGAATTTCATGTCGTCTTTACCGCCTCATCCTTTGTGGGTAACTCTGTTTATTAATATATTTATTTTTCTGTCGATAACGAAATTTAAATGAATTCGTTTCAAATGTTTTTCATTGAAATCCAAATAATAACTAAATAAATTAAATCCTAGAGATAGTGCAGGGGTAATTATTGTTATAAATATTTTCATTTAGGGAAATTGTTTTTTTAAACTTTCAAGGAAAACGGAAAACTGATATTTTTGCATATTAAATAGCACGCAGAATTATTTAGAAGGTAGGGAACAAGTGCTGCAGCTAGGACAGGGTAGGGGGCCGAGCGATGTGGATAGGACAGATTTGCAAGTTGTATACTTTAAGAGGGAGGGAGGGGGGGTATCACTTACTCTCAGAAAATAACAACATGACCTTCCATATCAACAATTTGCTAGATTTGTTCTATATACTATTTATGATAGTGGAGAATACACTAACCTATATCCTTAACTTGTAGAGTTGTAAAATAGAGATTGCACACCTTCTTGCTGTCGTCTTTACTTCTCCGTAGAAAACATTCTATAGTAATAATAATCATAATAATAATCATAATAATAATCATAATAATAATCATAATAATAACCATAATCATAATCATAATAATAATAATAACCATAATCATAATCATAATAATTATCATAATCATAATCATAATCATAATCATAATCATAATCATAATCATAATCATAATCATAATCATAATCATAATCATAATCATAATCATAATCATAATCATAATCATAATCATAATCATAATCATAATCATAATCATAATCATAATCATAAGTATAATCATCATAATAATCATAATAATGACAATAATCATACGGATTAAAGATTGTTCCCCTCTAAGGACTTTTATTCTTACCTGAATCAAGTTCGAGTCCATAATAAGATTTAATTGTTGCAAACAGAGGGTCATTTTCCTTTAAATAGTATTATTATTACATAATCATTAAAGAGACTGTCTACGTATTTTAGGACTTGCATGCCCGATACATAGTGATACACTGTAAACCTCGACCTAAGCAATATCATAAAACCAAAATCATAATCATAACATTCAGCACGGCAAAGACCTTAAAGGTCATTATGTGTTGTTGTCTGTAAAATATAAAAGAAATACATTGCTAAATAAAAATATCTTACAAAAAATATTCGAGATTTTCTAATCAAGTTTAATTACATCAAATACGAACATGAACATGAACATGAACATGAACATGAACATGAACATCAAGAGAAAACATCTATTAATTGGGACTTTCCAGGAATTTTGCGAGTGTTAAAATAGACTCAATTTTGTTCCTAGTTCTTAGAATTTGGACCATAAGGAAACCGATGAACGTTAAGATAAGCTCAGTTTTGTTATTAATTCCGAAAATTTGGGCCATAAGGAATAGTCTTAAGTGTTCAAATAGGCTCTTAATTTTAAGAATTTGGGCTTATAATGGATATATAAGAGCGGTTTTTTTCTCTCTCTCACTGAATAGGGTAAATTAGTTGATTTTTAAGAGGAATATGTGTATATTTTTTAGTAAAAGCATAAAAAAGAATGAAAAATTTGGTTCTAGATGGCATTTTTTTTTATACCGCATCATCAAAAATCATTTTCCCTTCTCATTCTGAAAAAATATAAACCCCTGTACCTGAAGGTAGGTAAATGGATCTTCTCTGAAACCTTGATATCTTCCTTTCTTCTTTGGAGGCCCCCCTCCATCCTTCTCCCTGTAATGCTTGTTATGCCCCTTCTCCTCCTCCTTCTCATTCTCCTTTCCATCTCCTTCCTTTCCTTCTTCTTCCTTTCCATTCTTTCCTTCGTCTTCTGCTCCGTTTACATCTTCATTGCCATTCTTCCCTGCTCCCTTCTTATATTCCCAGTTCTTCTTTTCCTTCTTCTCCCAACCTCCCAGAGCTTTCTTCCCAATGAGAGCAACAAAGAACCCGCCTGTATTCTGCTGATGAGGGAGGATCCTGTAACATAAGAAGCATAATAACCTTGAGGGATCTAGACCGCAATAGGAAAGACATTTGACTATGGTCCGGTCCAGGTATTAGTTTTAAATTTAAATAAATAATTGCTATTTTAGTTCTAAAATGTGTTATGTAAGGGGCAAAACGCAAAAAGTTTATTTTCTCGCCAATGTCGTCTTTTTTTAAATTAAAACATAATTTCTTCGAGACATGGATAACTTTTAATGCGTTTGCCTAATCAGAACACATTAATAAATAGCGGTAAGTATTAAAATCAGGCATCATTTCATTAATCAAATGAAAAAAATTCAAATCTTTGTATCACATATTCCCTCTTCCGCCCCCAGCTGGTCATGGTTTTGACATAAAAATGACCAACTTCCGTGTAAAAGTTTCCACAGGGGATATTGTAAGAACAAGATAATATAAAAGTTTTGATTTTNCCCCCTCCTAAACTTTAAAGTCCTCTCCCTTCCTTCCAGTTCATTATTTTGCTTACATTTTAGAATTAAGGCTTTATGAAAAAATTTGATTCATTTGGATAACCCTGTAAATGTCTTATAGTTTTAAAAATTACTGTGAAAAAAATGAATTAAAATTAATGTTACATTTAAGGGTACCGTTGTTAATCCGACATTCCACTCTTAAAGAGGTCCAATTGAAAATAAGTGACAAAAAAATGTTTTCAGAAATCCACCCCAAGTACTGTAACAAACAGATTGACCTTTGGAAGTGGAGTACATGGCCTGTACAATTGTAGTAAATGCCTTCTCCATAAATTGCTCTTGGACCCGTATCTATCCAGGTACAACAGTTCCACTTGACTATCAATGTCAATGCACGGACGCAATCCCAACAACTTTCAACGCTAAACCAATGGGCTCCCTCAAGTGTATTTTCTTTCTTACTGCATCAAACTCTCTCTCCAGATTTATGTCTGGCTCCAGGTCTAAACTTGAGTCTGGGTCCCTGTTGACTGACTGTTTGGCCCTCACTGCATTCTGTGGTTCATCTATTCCACTGTTCTCTTCTATTGTCTCAGCTATCTTGTTAAACTTTTAACATGTTCTGTTTTCATATTTTTTTTTATTTACCAAGAATTTGATTTACTTCTACACTGTCTTCACTGTCATGGACCTGTAGAAGGTGGCTGTTTTCCTTCCAGTCTGAGGAGTTCTCCAAACCCAAAACCTGCCAGAAGAAACACGATTACAACATTACTATGTGTGACACTATCTTGCTCCTTCTAGTTCTATGTGTTTTCTGAGACTGGTGATCCTTACTTGATTCTTAATTTAAATTGACTGCTACTAATACCTCGCCTTTTTTGCTTGCTGGTGCTATATATGCACTCTCTATCTTTGTGGCACCATCCCCCTTTCTTTTCGCCTTTGTCCCATACAGGTATCATCATCTCTTGCCCCTGTTTACTCATTATTGATCCCTGCTGTATCCTGTCATTATCGTGTCTAAAACTTCCATTCAAACGGAATAGATATTTTTCTTGTTGCCTAGCTGCTCCTGATTTTCTTCGGCATTTTTCCTGCTGTTTTATTGATTTGTCTTGATTTTCGTCACTGGGTCCTTATCCAGGTTTGTTCTTATTTAATTTGATTCATCTATCATTTTCTCTTAAATTTTTCTCTAATTCTGTTAGTTTCATTTGCTTCTGTTCCAGCTGCATTTTTCTTGCCTCTGTAAGCTCTTTCTACAATGTCATTTGCGTCAACATCATTCTCAGCTGGAGCTGTGAGGGTAGGAGGGTTGGAACCTGTTTTCACAACTATAGGACTTACTTTCAATCCCTTCTTATTGGCTGGTGGTCTACCTGAACTTTCTGGTTGATTCTCTGGAACAGGATTAGCTTTCTTACTGTCCCTTCTGTGTTTGTCTAACTCTGCATTTGTTCTGGAATACAGCTATGGAATTTACATAGGTATCTGTCATTTTATTTCTGAATTTCGTTTCTACAACTGAATGTTGGGTTTCTCAAATAGTTCTGTGTATCATTTCCATTGTTTGTTTTCCATATCTTCATTTTGAACTCTTTTATGTTTTTTTTTCTCTCTGTCTTCATTTTCTGTTGATTTTTCTCCTTTTTAACGTCCTTGGTTCTTCAAGTTTTTCTAAACAGGGCTTCCAATTCTTTGCTTCGAAGTTTTCCATCTTCTCTTCTAGTTTCCTTCGTGTTTATCCTTCTGATATTAGGTTCTTTATCAAAACTGTCCATAACTTGTTGCTTCACTGTTACTGTTCCTCTGACACAGTTTTCTCCTATTACTATTTAAAACCAGGTAATCAGCTGTATTTTTGTTTCTTGGGAGTCTGTGGCATTTAACCAGGGTTCCTTGACTCTCCCCGCTGCTACCACTTTTGTAGTAAATGCCCTACTCCATAAATTGCTCTCAGACCCATATCTATCCAAGTACAACTTAGTTCTACTTGACTATCAATGTCAACACACAAACACAATGTATATATATATCACATGATTAAGATAACTATATTACGTATTTAATTGAAGCGCAGTTCAGATAAATAATGGGTTTTACGTAGATGTTCTATAAATGTAGATGAGTAATAATGTACAACATAGTTTGGGATTACAGATATCTTGTTACCCAATATTTATTACACAATTAGTAAAGAATTATCATACATCATCACTTTGAATGTTTTGAATAAACAATTTTGGAAGCTAAAAAAACATTAAAACTTTTTTAAAAACGAAATAGTTATTGCCAATAACAAAATACACATGATTTCTTGTGGAATATTTTTCATATTTTGTTCTTAATTTTGCCTCCCACATCATTTTGTACACACCTTTTACTGCCAACAATTCACTTGTCCAAAAACAATAAATTTCACTTGTTACAATCACAAAGGAACCCCTTAAATTACAAACAATATCAAAAACTAAAAATATAGTTTTAAAAACAAAATTTTGCTTGGTAATAAGGGTATTAGCAGTTATGTAAACATAATATCCCAATTAAAAATCCCTTTTGTCAATATTCTACTCTCCTCTGAAAAGAATTCTAATTTTCAAAGATAATCCGGCTTATAACACCTAATTAATATAGAAGCCTTTTAACAGAAATGACATCTTTTAAGAATTATATCAAAGAGTAATGATGTTCAGCAACGATTTTCGTCAAATTTTTTGATTACTTAATCATCATCCTCTTAAAAAAAGGTGGTAGGAAAAAATATTATTTTACGTGAAAAGTGAAGATTTTATTTATTTATCACCCAACCACCCCCCCCCCCCCCCCCCTTTGCTATCTTCCGCTAGAAATCGAGACAATCCTGTTAAGAGAAATAGAGCCCACACTCTAACAAAATGTTTTTGAAGTTTTTTCTAATATAATGTACGCTATATAATAATATGCACATTTTTCAATTTTAGGTATCTTTTAGTTTTGATTGGATATTACAATTTAATAAAAAAAAGTGAAAAATTATATAATACATCTTTGTTTAAAAAAAAATAATTGATAAATCATCTATAGATATTAGAAGACAATTGAATGAATTTAAAAATAAAGAATATTTGAATTTACTGAATTAACTATATTAACAGTATTTCTAAAACTTCAAACTTGACGAATAGTGAAGGAGAAAACTAGATTTATACAACTGAATTCTGCTTAAATTTTTATTCCCTATAAAACATTGTTTTTGTGGTTTATATTTTCTTCCGATTTGTTAATTCTACATTGATAAATATATCATTTGATGATAAAAAATAAACAGGAAAGCTTAGAACATTTTAAATTTCTTAAGAATCTCCCGAAAACTTTTAAGTTAAACGCCTTTTATAAGTCAAAATTACACGAAGCAGTTTAAATGAAATTTTCTCAAAAAGGACCTAACAGGGATTTCTAAAAATCTACATGTTGGTTCTAGGCATAGTCTACTTTCAGAATTTGTCTTTGTAAACCTGACTTATAAGGGCAGTTGCATATTTTGATGTAATCTCATATAAATAGGTCATCTAGCTCCTCAGGATTTTTTTTCAACCCTCCCCCCCTCTCCGTTGATCCTAATCCTTAAAAGCTAAGATTAAATGCAGTACCAAATATTATATTTTTTTTTGATTATCATAGCAGTATATGCACTAAGAGATAATACTCGCAAATAAAAACTGTGCATATTAATAAACAGTTTACATTATATTTAGGTCTCTGATTAAAAAAAATACAAAGCAATTTATTGATAAAAAAGGGTTGAAAAACTAAAAATTGGATTTCAATCAAGTCATCAACTCTTCTCAAAATTACGTATTTTCTTATTTGTATGACATACCTCCGGAGTCATCTGCTTTTGTTTCTTTAAACTATTCATATTCACTTGCGGGTTCTTGGCAAGAGTAACTTGCGCATTTCTTGCTTATAAGAAGCAACGGAGAAATCTTCAAATTAAAACTGACTTAATCAAAAAAAAACCTGACGGAATCTTCCTTATTTTCTATTAAATTAAGGTTCTAATCAAAGAGTACCAATATAAAATGCATGATGACTTCTACAATTACAGCCTTTTTAATAACAAACCTGATACACTTGTTGAGGTTGTACTTGGCAGCCTCTTCAGGTGCTGGGGGGAACATCTGAGGTCGGATAATAGTGACAAGGCTTTCAGGTACATCCTCCATACTATACAACAAACGTTATGATTAATTTTGATCAAAAATAGCTGGACTGAAGGGCTCAATATTTCTATGGACCATACATCAAAATCTATGGGTGGTCAGAATAAAAAAGAGAAAAGGCAAAGCGTCCTTGAAGACAACTTTAAATTTTACAAAAATAATTTTTCTAACTGAACTTGTACTGCACTAAATTAATTAACAATTGGTTCATAGTTTATGAAAATTTGATTAGGAGTACGGAAAAGGACAGTTTTTGTCGAGAGTGTAGCACGGGTTGGGGTGTAGAATGAATAGAACAGTTTTGGTTAAGTGTAGGACAATAAAGGACAGTTTGGCAAGGAGTAGAACGAGTTTTGATTAGAATTTTAGTTGGGAATAGGACAGTATTGGCCAGGGCGGGATAGGACAAGTTTAGTTCAGAGCAGGACAGTTTTATCCAGGACAACAAATTAGGAAAAGTTTGTCTTTGTGTACCTAGTATAGGAGTTCCCCTGTCTGTCCGCTAGTATCCAGCTAGAAAGACCTGGGGAGTACTTGAGTCCAGGTAGGAAGGACTCTACATCTAGTAACTCCAGGCTACCCTCACCCTCCTTCAGCAGTCTTGAATAGTTTAATGAATATTAATGGGAAGTACTGGAGTCCAAGTAGGAAGGACTCTACATCTAGGAACTCCAGGCTACCCTCACCCTCCTTCAGAAGTCTAGAATAGGTTAATGAATATTAATGGAGAGTACTGGAGTTCAGGTAGGAAGGACTCTACATCTAGGAACTCCAGGCTACCCTCACCCTCCTTCAGCAGTCTAGAATAGTTCAATGAATATTAATGGAGAGTACTGGAGTTCAGGTAGGAAGGACTTTACATCTAGTAACTCAAGACTACCCCTACCCTCCTTTACCAGTCTAGAATAGTTTAATGACTATTAATGGGGAGTACTGGAGTTCAGGTAGGAAGGACTCTACATCTAATAACTCCAGGCTACCCTAACCATCCTTCAGCAGTCAAGAATAGTTTAATGAATAGTAATGGAGAGTACTGAAGTCCAGGTAGGAAGGACTCTACATCTAGGAACTCCAGACTACCCTTACCCTCCTTCCCCAGTCTAGAATTGTTTAATGAATATTAATGGAGAGTACTGAAGTCCAGGTAGGAAGGACTCTACATCTAGGAACTCCAGACTACCCTCACCCTCCTTCACCAGTCTAGAATAGTTTAATGAATATTAATGAAGAGTACTGAAGTCCAGGTAGGAAGGACTCTACATCTAGGAACTCCAGACAACCCTCACCCAGGCTTCCCTCATCCTCCTTCAGCAATCAAGAATAATTCAATGAATATAAATTGGGAGTACTGGAGTCCAAGTAGGAAGGTCTCATTGTCTAGTAACTCCAGGCTACCCATTCCTTCCTTTAACAGTCTAGAATTTTGAGTGTTAACAATCCCTACATCAGTCCTCTAATTATTTAAAGGGACTGCTGACATGATATCAAGAGACTCTCCATATATAGACTGGCTCGATTCACAATGGTACCCTGAATGTCATTGTCTGTGTCTGCTCAAGAATATATAAGAAAAATGATTTTATCTTTGAAAATTGGTTATTTTTAAATACTTTCTCTTTAAAAGTGACTAGCCGATTTCTGCTGCCGTAACAGTAAAGGAAATTGTCTGAATTAACAATGTACTTTAAGATAGAAAAAACAACGATATCTTCCGCATCATTGAAATACAGGACACCGTTGTAAATTGGGTATGCTAATCTACAAATGGTGGATCTCATGAAATTACACTAAGTTGAATAAGACTATAATAACGAACTATAACTCTTAAAGGGAGTGTTCGCGAAAAATTAAAGGGGGTATAGGCTTAATGCGATAAAAAAGCGCTTTTGATCGCTTCTAATCTTACTTCTATCTTGTTATGATCTGAGAGTTACTTATAAAAACATTTATTCCTGTTTTTGGTAATGAAGACGACATTTTCATATTTTCCAGGAATGTTCGAAAACAAGTTGGAAGCTAAATGTTATTTTAAAAAATAAAATCAAAACATATTATGATAAATCAACTATATAAAAATGTGGCGAAAGATAATCGATAAACATAGGGTGCAATATCTGAATGATTTGTTTAAAATTAAATAGATTTTTTTACGGTCTAAGTCATATGTTGCATCTTTCTGAATTTGTATGGATACTACGTTCTTCGGTATTAGTCGTTTTTAACAATTTTCTCCTTATAGACGCAACAGAAAGAAGTAAGATTAGAAGCGATCAAAAGCGCTTTTTTATCGCATTTTATACCCCCTTTCATTTTTCCCGAACACTCCCTTTAAAAATAAGAAGATTTTAAGGTTATACTAAGTCTTTTCTGTATACTTATCAAATGCATTCTGGTGAGTTTTATCATACAATTATCGACAACCCCCTCCATAGGTTGGTTTTCTACCTGATAACGCACTTACAATTACTAAAAAAAAGCTTTAACCCACTTTTTTTCAGAGACACTATACAGATTGTCCATTGTTTGTTAGAAATCCCATGATACGGATCAGTATTTTTAAACAATATATTTGATATCTGCGCCTTTAAACGTGTTCAAAATATCTCAAAAACGTGTCGATAATAGTATATTTCGATAATGAATATTAGAAATAAAGTTCACCTGTGAATAACCGCCTCATTTTCTATTGGATTAAAACTGCAAGTGCTGTATACTAACCTACCCCCAACCTGAGAAATTATTGATAATTATATAATAATGTATTTAAGTAGTAGGTTTAAACAAATCATTTTCAGCAAATACGCAACCAATCTAAACACAATTATATCCCACAGGAGCCTGAGAATCTCAGGTTTGCTCCTATTATAATTTTTAAATTTTAATTTTCCATTTTTAATAGATATAATTGATAATATCATGTCCGTAAAGTCCGTATTACGTCACCAGGACTTCGGCCAATGGCAGTGCAGTATTCTTGTCACGTGATACAGACAGGAATCACATGACCAGTATAATCGTGTTTAGATTGGTTGCCTATTTGCTAACCTACTACTTTTTTACTTTTTATTGTATATTTATGAATTTTCGTATAATTTTGACACAGTTTTATATCAATTTCTCGAGAAAGGAACACCAGATAGATGTCTTATAGGTATCGTTCAACGTTCTTATAGGTATCGTTCTCAGGTTTCAGCACATACCCCCTTATATTTTTCCTTTACAGTCCCTTTAAAGAAACCATAAAAAGAAAAACCAATGTCAGAAAAGAAGATAAGTTTAATTAAGTTAATCTTATTTGGAAAAAAGATAAACCTTAAAAAATCAAATCTTATTAACATTTGTATTAGGTTTCCTCAGAATCCTTGATTAACCCTATTCCTGCAGGGGTGGGGGGTAAATTTGACCCCTCTGTAATTTTTTTTTCATAACTCAAAGTTTTTTGTTCTTAGGGTTCTGAAAATTTCCGGCTTTTCCTGAATATCCATAGCCCTTTCTTCAGGCCTATAACCGGGCTTTTACACTAACTGCCAGAGGCATCAAGCACACTGCCTGAATGACGACTTTTTCCTGGAAAGCCTATGATATAAGGAAACGGGTCGTTTCTTTGGACATATTTTTGCAAAAATTTCTGCTATAAAACTGGATTTTGTAGATTCTAAAAGTATAGGCATAAGAGCTTTCCCTTTCTTTCCAATGATGTATCTTTTGTCATATTTGATCATCAAAAATGGTATTTAGGGGGGGGGGGGGGGAGTCAAATCAAGTACAAGGAAAGGCTCAACAGTTTGACTTAAAATCAAATATTTCTTTTTCGTCTTTTTTACGCTGTTTTCGACGAAATTTGAATTAGAGTTTAAAACTGAGAATATGTCGATACAGGCAGAATGTATTTAATTGTATTTAGTTTAACTTGAGTTCTTTTCCTTGTGATTTAGTAATCAGAAAGATGATATTAAAGAGTGGGAAAAAACGCTCAAAAACAAAACTTCAAATTACAAAAAGGCCATTTTTCCGAAACGCCCAATTAAAAAACACCCAATGTCACTTAACGCCCAAAACAAAATGCCGAATCACAAAACGCCCAATTACTGTAAACGTAATGTCAAGTAACCCTCTTTTTTTATAAATTGAATAAAATCTTCACTAACCTCTAAAAGTTCAATACCACGTTTAAGTATTCTATATTGTAGTCCGTGGAGATTAGGTCCATTCATCACATTCCATTTAGGCCAGATATCAGGGTTCTAAATATATTCCAATTAGACCAGATATCAGGGTTCTAAATATATTCCATTTAGACCAGATATCAGGGGTCTAAATATATTCCATTTAGGCCAGATATCAGGGTTCTAAATATATTCCATTTAGGCCAGATATCAGGGTTCTAAATATATTCCATTTAGGCCAGATATCAGGGTTCTTAGTATATTCCATTAGGCCAGATATCAGGGTTCTAAATATATTCCAATTAGACCAGATATCAGGGTTATAAATATATTCCATTTAGGCCAGATATCAGGGTTCTAAATATATTCCATTTAGGCCAGATATCAGGGTTCTTAGTATATTCCATTAGGCCAGATATCAGGGTTCTAAATATATTCCATTTAGGCCAGATATCAGGGTTATAAATATATTCCATTTAGGCCAAATATCAGGGGTCTAAAAAAATTCGAGTCTTATATTTTTTTTGGAATATATTATATATTTTCAAAAAGAGACTCAAATCAAATCAGACTTTTAGAAACGTCATACTTCTACAATATCATTTCGAAGTAAATGTAATAAATTTAGATGGATTGAGGCTTTACAGAGTTTGGCATGACTTCAGACTACATTCTAAAACTGATCCAACTAAATTAAATTCTAAAAGTGCGCTGAAAATAAAAATATTACAGATAAAATTACAATTTTATAAATAAAGATTTAAGAGTATTGATAAAATATAAAATAAAATTCGCAAAACATCAAGAAGAAAACCAAAAGCAAGGGAATTATCGCTCTAATCTGCTCTCACTGATTAAATGTATCTTTGTTTTTTGTTATTGCAAATTTTTGGAAAGAAATTAGCTCATAAGATGGCTTTAAAAAGTAAAAGTAATTTAAATCAAAAATATTTTGGACTAAGTACTTCCAGAAACTTATACATTTGCATATTCGTAAGGAAAATGTATGGGCCTAATTCATGATCTGAATCCAAACTTTGGAATTTCCTTCTTTACTATCATTTTATGCAATCTTTAATTCATTTTCAGCTAATTTTAATCTAAAATGTTTAAATTAAAATAAGGTTTAGGGCATACCCTATAAATTCCTGGAAATCTAAGATTTTACTTATCCAGGGGAGCCACCATGGCATCCCCCCACACTGTAGTGTATACGCCCCTGTTTATAAGCAGTGAAACTTTTTATATTAAGATTATTAACCACTTCTTGTGTGCATCGATTTAGGTTCACTTCTTCTCTTCATTCATAAAATCTGGTTCCAGGATGTTTTGATATTAAAAAATTAGAATAAACCAAATCAAGGTTTACCACGAATAATTGATCCTAACAATTAGATAGAATATACATTGTAAAAATATCACAGACGTCAAGATAATACTAATAAATCAGTGAAACTACAATACTTGTTATTAAGAAAATATTGATATTTATTGACCAGTATCCGATCAGAAGCTTGTTATAGTCAAATGTAGGGTTTTCAGATAAATTCAATTGTACAAAAAAATCCAGCCTTTCAGGGTTCTCCCAGGTATCTTAGGTAAAATATTTACAAAAAGAACGAAATTTTGGTGTACAATGTACATCCTAAAAGATATTTGAGTATCTTAGTGTTGCCCCTGTATTACTATATAAATTCTCATCTCACAATTCCGCATTCCCATTTTTTTTAACAATTGCTCTTAAAAACACCATTTAAAGGTCTGAAATGAATAAATAACCTGTAAGATTGGGGTCTACAAGTCATTGGCAGTCTTAAAATTTTATTCTTCAAAGCTCGAAAAATGGTAGGATATCACGGAAAATAAGCATTAAAAATATTATCTTGAGCATAAAACAATGAAAAATGATCAAAAATCATACTTTTTCAGGTACGTTTTGCCAATTATTGAGTATATAATATGCAAGCTAAACAATATTGCAAAACATACCAGCCTTAATTCAGAATCCGACCCTATGTTTTATTTCTTTAGTTCAGGTGTTTTTATGGTGTTTTTATGAGCAATTGACAAAAAATAGGATTACGGATATATTATGCGAGTATTTGTGTAAGAAGACAGGGGCAAACCATGATACTCAATCTTTTCAAGCTTTACACCAAATAATTTGTTCTCTTCATGAAGGTACTGGGAGAACCCTGAAAGGTTAGATTTTTGTATAATTAAATCTTAAATACCTACATTTGACTAGTGATCTATTTTTATAAAGTGGAAAAACTGTGGCAATTTAAACAGCAAAATACGCCAAAATCTAAGTGGAATGTGCATTGCATTGCATTGCATTGCATTGCATTATTTCTACCCTTCTGTCTGTAAGTTTGAATTTAATAAATGTCAAAACAGCTGAATCAATCGGGCCAACATTTTTGTGGCAACTAAAAATGACCACAGGAAAGGTTATTGGCCGATCTAAATAAATGTGTTACTAGAAACTACCTAGAAGCCTTATGTATCAAAAAGTAATTAACTTAATGTATAGGACGGCACAGATAATTACTTTGTCCTTTGTTTTACAATACAAAACTTGTGACCCAGATTAAATTAAAATTGTAAATATAAAATTCTCTTAACTGAAAGTTTAAAAACTGGGAAATGTTCATGAGTTTAGAACATGAAAGGAGTAGATCTTCAATCCAAAAAAGAACTAAAACTATTCTCTAGAGAAATTCTAAAGAAAATTTTCTACTTGAAGCCTGAAAAGAAAGCAAAAAAAAAAATATGTCAAGGGAGAATATAAATACAAAGCTTTGTTTATCATCCAAGAAAGGTTCATGGCTGGTCGGAATTGAATTCTTTTTTTTTAAAATAAATGCCGTCCTAAAAATATTGACGTTTGTTGGTTTGTTTGAAACAATTAATCTTTGTGTCTCAAATTTATCTGAAGCATGGTCCATAAGTAGGTATCACAAAAAAAATGTAAATAAAATTTTTTTCTAAAAAAATTACCGATAAAATCAAGATAATCAACAAAATTTTGTTTGTTTTACGGTTGCATTTTTACTGGAATTTTGTATCCCCTGTGAAAATTAAAGATGCACGTATGTCACGCATAATTACTAAAATCGGTTTGGTTTCAATTTTATTTTTTTTTATTCAGGAGAATGATTCTTGAAATAATATCAATTTATATAATAAAGCACTTCGCTTATAGTATAGTATAGTAGAAGATTGCTGGCAAAGCATGAAAAATTCTGTATAATTGATTTCTTTGTCAAATAAAAATGTAAAGTTGAAAATGGAATTGTATATTTACATTTTTATTTGACAAAGAAATCAATTATACAGAATTTTTCAAGCTTTGCCAGCAATCTTCTACTATACTATATATTAGCTAAAGCTGGCTAAACAGCAGGACCAAATCTCCTGTACTATTCTATGCTATACTATATATTAGTAAAAGCTGGCTAAGCAGCAGGACCAAATCGGCTGAAATTTTGGAGGGAAGCATGGGTATTGGGTAACATTGGCTATAAAAATTTGATGTTTTTTTAAAAATCATTTCTTAAATTCAATTTTTTTCCGCAGGCAACGCCGAGTACTTCAGCTAGTCTGTAACAAGAACTGTATTAGACTGATTCTAAAGCTCAGGTGAATTTTTTAAATTGTTTTTATTTTAATTTTATTTAATCATGTTGCTCTGATTCTTAAATCATAGATTCAACATCTTATATATTTTACATTTTACAAAACTATTAAAATCGGTTTCGATAAAAATAAAACTATGTGTTTTCATATTTTTTATCTACCAATATTGAATAATAAAATATATTTATTTTGACTAAATAAGATATCAAAATCAAGAAGAAAGGAATTAAGTCTTTGCCACAAACTCTGATTTCAATGCTGTAGATTTTAGATATTTCAAACTATAACTTCTGTTAGATCAAATAGTCTAAGTTTGAAAGATATAGAGATTGTGGCATGAACTCGATTCCTTTCCTGTAAAAACTATGCTGGGAGTAGTATAACTTCTTTTCAATATCCAATATTTTCCGTTTTATTTAAAACCAATGTTTTCTCTAAGATTTATTGAGAAGAAAAGAACAAAATAATTATTTCAGAACTTTTAAAATATGTCAGAGTAGAGAAATAATGGAGTTTTTCCAATTTATTTTCTTATAAACCAATTTTAATTCTCTTGAATAAATGGACCTATTTTTATTTATCAATGTTGTATCGAAAAGGATATCCAAAATTACAACAGACTCAAAACTGACAAATTTATAAGTTTAACACAAAATTACGATTATTATTATTAAACCGTTTTTTTTTTTTACTAATTTAAATAAAAAGTTGGTTAAACTTCAACTGAATAGATAAAAAAAAGGCGTTTACACATCTATATAGTGTTCTCTTATTATGTGGTCGTTTGTTTAGATATCCCATTATCGCTCTTGAAAGAAATGGTTAATTTTGTTGATTTCAAAAAAAGCTTGCTTTTTGATTTTTTATTTAAAAGCTGTTTGAAGTGAAAGAAAATCTGGGAAAAGTATGATTATAAATCAACGTTTATGGTATCACGAACAATTCCTTACAGAATATTAATTGGTACCTCCAAATTCCAATCTGTATCCTAGAGTTAATATTAGGACACTCTTAGCAATTGGTACCTCCATCCTAGTGTTAATATTAGAACACTCCCTTTAAACAATTGATACCTCCATCCTAGTGTTAATATTAGAATACTCTTAACAATTGGTACCTCCATCCTAGTGTTAATATTAGAACACTCTTAACAATTGGTACCTCCATCTAAGTGTTAATATTAGAATACTCCCTTTAACCAATTGGTACCTCCATCCTAGTGTTAATATTAGAACACTCCCTTTAAACAATTGGTACCTCCATCCTAGTGTTAATATTAGAACACTTCCTTTAAACAATTGGAACCTCCATCCTAGCGTTAATATTAGAACACTCGACTCTCTTTTAACAATTGGTTCCTCCATCCTAGTGTTAATATTTGAACACCTTTAAACAAGTGGTACCTCCATTCTAGTTTTAACATTAGAACACTCCCCTTCGGTACCTCCCCTCCTGTAGATAAATTATGAATATTCCCTTTAAAAAGTTGTGTTACCTTCCTCATAGTGCCATCTCCGGTACAGGGAACATCACAGAGGATTCGATCAAACTTGAGAGGAACTAACTCAGGGTCCTGAGACAGCTTCAATCAATTAATCAACTCATCAATTGATCAATTAGTTCTTTTATTTATCAATTAGTTCTTTTATTGATCAATAAGTTCTTTTATCGATCAATTAGATCATTGGTAGAGTTTTCATTTCACAAAAAAAGATTCTGTTCTTTATATTGACCAAGTACTTCATTAATTGATCAATTAGATCATTGGTTATTCGATCAGATCAATAAAAAGATATTCAGTTTCTAAATCAATCAATCAGTTCTTTAATTAACAAATTGGTTGATGCATCTATCAATCAATTCATTAGTTTGGTATTCAGTCCTTAAATCAATCAGTTCTTAATTAGTTAAATTAGTTCATTTAGATCATCGGTTGAACAATAAGATCACTGGTTAATCAAGTAGATCATCGTTTGATCAATTAGATCATTGGTTGATCAATTAGATCATCGGTTGATCAATGAGATCATCGGTAGATCAATTAGATCATCGGTTGATCAATTAGATTATCTGTTGAGCAATTAGATCATCAGTTGATCAATAAGATCATCGGTTGATCAATTAGATCATCGGTTGATCAATTAGATCATCAGTTGATCAATTAGATCATCTTTGATCAATTAGACCAATTGTTTATTACTCATTAGAATTTGAATCCAGGTATCCAGTGGGGTATGGGGTAGTACCCTTCCATAGCCCTGTAACTACTCAAAACATAATAATAAAAATCCTATTATCAAAACCAATTATAACTTCATAATCTAGTTTTCCCCTTTAGAAATAAGTTTGGAAACTTTGAACTTTTATTCCAACTAATTTGAATCTCTTCCATTGCAAAAAAAAAAAAAATTCTACAAAGTCCTCTTGCAAAGAATTCTGTGAAACTATTCTCTAAATCTATATATTTTTAGGAAATAATGAAGCTTTTGCACAATCCACATATTGATTCATTAAAGGGACTGTTGATGAAATTAGAAGTGACCCTTTATTTAAAAAACATACTTTTTACTCTCAAAACCAAATCTGAACTGTTAAAAAAAGTTGGGCTATTAAAACTCCTTATTTCTGAATAGTTCATCAAGCTTCAGCATAAAAATAGGCAAAAACTAAGAAAAATTATTTGAAAATTCTTCTTTTGTTAAACAAATCAGTAAATCTTAAAGAAATGTTCGTGACCTGGATCCGGATCCATTTATTCCAATCCGGATACAGGATCCACATCAAATATAATGGAACCTAAGCACTACTAACTGAAGGTGATAATCTTGTATTTATAGCTAAAAGATATTAATTTGGCGTTGCAATTAATTTCTCTAAGAGAAAATCACTAGCGTTTATGGATGCATGAAGCAAAGAAAAGGAATAAAATTGACAAAGTTTATCTATGGTTAAGTAAGAAAAACGACGACGACATTCTTTCGAGATCAATGCTTACAGTGATCGAGCGATTTGGAAGGTTTCCAGCTCGGATCAGATGAAGGTATAAAAGCTATCAAATATTCCGTTTTGTATCTTAACACCGTTAAAATATCCAATTAAGTTTTAGTCCAAGTACATACAATAGAGAAAACCATAAAACTATGGAATAGGAAGACAACATTTCTGCAACCTTTCAATTAACATATCAATTAGATTATTGGTTGATGCATCTATCAATCAATTCATTAGTTAGGTATTCAGTCCTTAAATCGATCAATCAGTTCTTAAATAGGTAAATTAGTTCATTTAGACCATCGTTTGAACAATTATTTGATCAAGGGTATTTAATTTTGTAGCAAGTTTTATCAGTAGCTTAAATCACGTATTAAAACAAATGGCTCTGTGTTCACTGCATAATTGCTGTGTTTCGTGTCAATTGAGTCTAAAAGTCGTCTTCTTACTTAGTAGTTTTATGATTCTCCTGTACATTTTAAATTGCTATGATTGAAATCTTTCCCTGGGGTGATTTCTTGACCATCATATTGGGCATGATCGCGGCATCATGGTTTGTAATCAATACACATGGGGACTGTAATCTCTTAGCCTGATGGGTCAACATGTAACACCTAAATACAAATCTCACATTAAATAATATTTTCATTTTGTCCTGCTGTCAAAACAAAATTCATTAACTACATTTAAATAAGTTTTGAAATCATTGTAATATGCAACCTAGCTATTTCGCTTCCTTTTGTTAAATACGAGAGCCCACCCATCCCCTTCACAGACAAATCAGTTTTTGCACCTCATACATTTTTAGAACTTTTAACTATCATTTTGGTTCCAAGATTTTGGAACTTTTAAAGCTTGCTTTTATTAAATTTTTTATCCTCGATAAAAAAGTGGAAACAATCCAAAGGTGATCGTTCAACACGTTCGGTTCTGAGTCGTTTTTGGTTCGTTTTTTTGTTACATTTGTTTGGCATAAAAATAAGCGAAACAAAGATAAATAATATTAAAATTCTTCTTTAAAAATAAAATCAGTATATCCTAAAGAAATGTTTTTTGACATGGATTTCGATCAGCATCAAAATAAAATGGATTCTAAGCACTGCAAACAATATTATTTCACCTGGCGTTATCTGCATCATTCGCTACCAGGAATCCAGTTGGTAAACCTCCCTCATCCTGGTGCAGAGCTTCAATAAGCTGAGCTGTTTTAGATCCAGGAGCAGCACACATATCGAGAATCTACATAGGAGAGCTTTTAGAGCAGTTTTTATCTGGTAATTAGAAGGGAAGAGGAGAGGGGGGGGGGTTAATTTCTTATTGTTACACTCAGTACAAATTAATATTTCTAATATTAGCCCAAATAACTCAAATACTATAGAGGAGGAACACTAATGTGATAGTATAACACATGCGTCAAAAGTAATGAAAGATGAGTATTTAATGATATTAATGAGTATTGCTTATACGTTTGCAGTCCATGTGGTCGTCTGGGAATGGGAAAATCAGCCAAACAGGAACTTAAGGACTGAAAGTTTGGTTAGATCGTCTTTCAATTCTGAACATATTGGATCAGGATCCTAGTAGTATGCTACATACAATCATATCCATCATGAGAAGAGGTGCAAAGGTTAGTTTACGGCCTAATCCTTAGGACACAAGAAATTACTTTATGACATAATTCTTGCAAGAAGAGGTGCAGCGATTAGGTTAACATCCCAATTCGGAGGACATAAGAGATTAGTATACGACCTACTCTTGAGGACGTAAGAGATTTTTTTTATGACCTAATCCTTTCGAGAAGAGGTGCAGCGATTAGTTTACAACCTAATCCTGAAGATATAAGAGATTAGTTTACGTCCTAATCCTGAAGATATAAGANCATGAAGAGGTGCAGAGATTAGTTCACGACCTAATCCTGAGGATGTAAGAGATTAGTTTACGACCTAATCCTGAAGATATAAGAGATTAGTTCACGACCTAATCCTGAGGATATAAGAGATTAGTTTACGTCCTACTATTGAGGATGTAAGAGATTCATTTATGACCTAACCCTTACAAGAAGAGGTGCAGAGATTAGTTTACGACCAAATAATCTTAAAAATGGTCAAGATTGAACATGTTTAAACTGCATAATGAGGGAGTGGTCGCGAAAAATGAAAGTTTAAATATCATAATCTTTTTTATTCATGATGTACTTAGGTAGACGATTTCCCTTGGGAGAGATAACTAAACAATTTCCTCTCTAATAAAACCAACCTTATGGTGAGGTTTAACGTCTAGAACTAAGGGGGGTATCATAGAAACAGTCTCCTGTCTAGATGTATTCCCAGTCTCTGCAAAAAAAAATAAAACATTAAAATCAAAGTCGAAGAAAGGATAAAAAGAAAAAGTTTATAGTTTTCAAATTTTGAGTTCGGACATAAAAAGCATTTTCTAATTTAACTTACAGCTTTATGCTTGTTTTAAAGTTAATTAAAAAAAATCGTTGGAAATAAAACAAAAGTATGGTTTAACCATTTTCTTTAAAATCTTCATGCCATAAACAAATTTCAATTTGGACTTAACATCTATACTTAGCTTTTTAAAGATTAAAATCTTTGACTCCATTTTTTTCTTTGAATTCTCTTAATCTGATTTTTTAATATCATGAAAGTGCGCAGAAAATTTGATGTTTTCAGGATAAAAATAAATAAATAAATTTTTAAAAAATAATAATGATATTAATTTTTATTCATAATACATATTCATTCTAATTCAAGATAAAAACAAAGAGATAAAACTCCTTATTTACGACCTAGCTGGCGTTGCCCTGGTTTATATTATCATTCATAGTCATAGTTACTCCTGCCGTTTACCCGCGCTTGGTTAAATAATGAGTTTAGCTCAAGTGACAAAATACCCAAGTGTATCCTCACAAATTTCAGCCGTTTGGCCAGCCATACCGAATATATTTATATAATATAATAAAGCTCTTCGCTCATAAATATGTATATGTTAGCTATAGCTGGCCAAACGACTGGACCAAATTGGCTGATTTTTTACCCCTGGTAATATTCACAAAACAATCGACTTTTTTATTCTTCAAAATTCGAATTTCTTTCCAAAATGTTTTTTAAAATTCTAAGGGTAACGCTGGAAACTTCAGCTAGTATACATATACGAGTGAAGCTACAGATAAACAAATTTTCTATTAACTTTTATTAAAACTTTTCTACCGATTCTTGTAACATCTAATTATAATAATTTTCTATTTCTAGATAGAATTATTATTATTTTTTATGACTAGATATGTAAAGAAGTCAGCATTTGATTAAACCACTTCTGTATATTTATTAGAAACTCTCGTCGTGAGGCTTCATAAGTTAATTTCAGCTTTATTGCTATGTTTCCAAGTATAAATATATATATTTATTATATGTTTGTCTGTATGTCCGATTATAATTCTGATTGGGGAACCATAGGAATGTCCTTAGCTTGATTTAAAAATTCTAATTTGATTGAGTTGATTCTTAAAAAAGAAAATTTAGTTTCCAGACAAAGCTGGGTTTCCAAGCTAGTTGTTCATCATCTTCATATGTAAATTAGTAATCTCTGTTTGTTTGTTTATATGTCTGATCAGCTCGTGAACCCTTTGACCGATTTTCTTAACATTCTGAATGGGTAACTCGGGAGACCCACGGGAATGTTCTCAGCTTGGTTCAGTGGGTTGACTTAAATAGGGAAACCTCCAGGGAAAACTTTGTTTCCAAGCTATTTTTTAATTATATTTTTAATTTTCTTTAATGCGTTTTTATTATCCTAATAACAAGTCACGTTGAAGACATTTATTTTTTCTAACATAAGACGTAATTTGAATGAATGATATTTTGTTAAACTTTAAAAATTTAAAACAGTGCATTTATGTAAATTGAGCATTTCTGTTGCAGAAACAACGAAGGAAATTGTTAGAACTTACACTTTTGAAGCTGAAACCCGACGATTTATTTTAAATGATTATTCAAATAAAGGTTTATCGTTGAGAATAGGGTTTCCACGAAATGGCTAAATCTGTTGCTATTTTCGCGCAAATTTTATTTTTGCGAACTTTTGCGCTATTTTTGCGCTTGAAACGCAATGAGTTTTGCGCTATTTATTTTGCGCAATTTGCGCAAAACCGGAAATATTTTTTGCGAAAGTTGCGCTTGAAACGCAATGAGTTTTGCGCGGTTTTGCGCAAAACCGCAAGTTTTTAGGCACATTGTCAAAATTGATATTCTAAGCTTAGAATTAAACAACTGGAGATTTATTCCATATACAAAAAAAATATTAACATACGAGTATGATAACGATTATACTACACTCAATTGGTTACTTCCAGTTACAAAAAGTTTAAATTAAGGGACCAAAATTAATAAAATAGAAATTAGAGAGTGTGAAACTTGGCAATATTTTAATCCTATTAAATAATTTCAAGTGACCCGGCCTTAAAAGCTTTGCTTAATCAAGTATGAATTGTATTCTTAAATTTTTTTAATCAAATTTCTGAAATCTTTTTAATCTCGTATAAAATAATGCAAGAAAGTAACCAATGCCTCAAGAATCCACTTTTAGGAAATATGCATGTCCAAAACTTGTCGAGAAAATTGTGAGATTTGACTCTTCTTAATTGTCAATGGTCAATTATGTAAAAGTGACCAATAGGAAGACATTCCAAAACAAGATTTTTCCAGAATTGAATTCTAAGAAACACACACCGTCACAACCGTTTGATTTTTACGAAATTGCGGATTTGCGCAAAACTTGAGTTTCGCAAAAGCGGAATAGGGCAATTTTGCACGAAATGACTTTTGCGAATGATTGCGCAAATTGTTGTTTTTTTCGCGCAATATTGATGCGCAAAGAAAGAAAAATATTGCGTTTCGTTCCGCAAAAATTGCGCAAAAGTTTTGCGAATGGAAACCTTAGTTGAGAATATATCATTCATAAAACTACGCGGTAAAAAAATGGCGGCCGTACCACAAAATGCGCCAAGAAGTTTACCTGTCTCTGCCACGAGGAAGTTGTGAAGGCGGAAGTAGATTTCATCCCGCCGAATATCCTTTCTAAAAAGTTTGGCGTAAGCAAAATAAAAACGTTCCATAATATACTAAAATATCTCCAAGCTTTAACCGCCAATTACGTAAATAATAATAGAAAACTAATTTTCTGCCAGCAAATTTTTGTTTTTGCATTATACAATATTTTAATATGGTTCCTTCTTTTTAAATTTCCTGATTAGTCCCGAAAATCGCAATTTAGAGCTGTGAACAATTCAAACTAAGTGTAACTAAACCAAAAATCCTTTAGAATTGACAGAATTAACTCTAATATATCTTTTAATGATATTCAAATGTGGAAATCTGAAATCGAAAGTCAATATTTTGTGCGATAAAATCTTTTACATAGAATACGAAAATTGTTGAAAATAACTAAGTTACAGAAAGAGAGGTTAGTCAGGGAAATGAAAAATTCGAAAAAATTGAAACAAAAAATACCTGGTAACATTCAGTTGATAAGCCATACGGTCCGGGTACCATTCCAGGCAAGTTGGTACTACAACCTTAACAAGAATAAGTTTAAAAGATGAACTATTTCATAAAAATGATAAGAAACAAAAATTGAAATTCATTTTCCAAAACTTTAAAAGCTTAACCCTTAAATCCCCCCAATCCCCCTTTTCTTAAATTAATTCTCAAGTTTATAAGCGAAAGTTAGACGAATAAAAACTATTTTAAGAAATATATTTAAAATTCTTCGAAAATTATCGAACTTTAAAATAGAAAGATAATTCATCTTGAATTATGTCACCTACAAATGGTTAAATTAAGAAAGTCTTCACGAAACGCAATCAATTTTGAATATTTTCATCAGAATGATTTGCGCATTTTTTGAAAAAATATTACACTCAGTCTCACCTTCCCTCCTTTCTTCTCTAGCTCAGTGAACTCCTGGAAGTAATCTCCCTCCATGATCTTCAACAAGGGTTTTGTCTGGGACCTGGTTGGTATCATTATTATAGTTGTTATCATTATTAATATTATTATAATGAAGGAAAGACTACTCACCTTGCACATCATCAATCTAATTAAGGTTTCAAGGGTACCGTTGTGTCCCTATGTAAATGGGGGGAGGGGGGGGGGTGTAAATAAAAAAATTAAGCTTTAGTTCCTTCAAGTGGAATTTTTGTTTTAAACGGGTGCATGATGTTGAACAGATTAACCCAAAATCAACCCCAGTACTACTACCAGAATTCTGTAATACTGAAAATCAACCTTCACTGTAATACGTAAAATCTACCTGAATCCTATAATACGGAAAATCTACATGAATTCTGTAAGATGAAAAATCTACCTGAATTCTGTAATGCGGAAAATCTACCTGAGTCCTGTAATACGGAAAATCTACCTGAACCCTGTAATAAGGAAAATCTACCTGAATCCTATAATACGGAAAATCTACCTGAACCCTGTAATACGGAAAATCTACCCGAATTCTGTAATGCGGAAAATCTACCTGAATCCTGTAATACGGAAAGAAGCCGGTAAATCTTGCTGGAGAGACTACAAATCAACCATCAGAATAAAAAATAAAAAATAAAATAAAAAACTCCGAACTATTTGAAATATGTGATAAAGTATACAAATGTTTATACACTAGAGCTGGAATTTTTGTGTGTGCAATAACAAGCTAAGCTAGAAATTCTGCGTCTGAACTAGAAATCAGCGGACAGCTTTTAAAGGATACGGTCATTAAGCCATAAATCGATGACTCCGCAAGTCTTAATTCGCCATTTAATTTTCATTTATTAATAAAATTCTTTCTGCTAAGGTTTTGCATTTAACATAAAGATGTCCGGGTAAGTCTGAGAATTCTAGAGACTTGTAGAGGTCCAAAATAAAAGTTTCACCATTTGTAAGATCTGCGGATCTTTTCTTAAATCTTGATGTTCAGGTTGAATCCAGAAATCGTGATCTAAAGAAGCACATGAAGATCAACTCATCTAATTCTATCCTCCTGTATATACATATATAAATATTTAATCGAGCTTTATCTTAGATTTTATCTGAGTTTAATTAAAGTTTTACTTTAAATGTATCATTCTGGCCTAAAAGTTTTATATTCTCAAACCTAAAAAGCTTTTTTACAACGTCTAGATTTATACTTTAAATAGAGCCTATAACTAAAAAATTATTTTAATGGTCTATATATTTCAGACCACAATGGGCTAGGATAACTGCGTTATCCTGTCTTAGTACTCCAGGTTGTGCAATACTAGGTTTATAAAACATCTTATTTAAATGTAATCGTAAACACTGCCTAAACCTTTCGAATTTAAGCTCTTTAAAACTAATGGATGTTATATAAAGTGAATCCAGATCATTCTCGTATTTCAAGGCCTGACCTGAACTATGAACTAATGAATTAACAGGTGATAATACGTTCTTAAATAACTTAGAACTTTTGAAGCTTATCCAAGACTAATTACTCCTTTATCTCGTAGACCAAGTCCTTCTCTGAGCTACCCACGCCGTACTCCTGGACGAGGATGATCTCTTCAATCTAACGAGAGTTTGATAGAGCAGATTCAGCTGGAAGCACGATGAACCTTTCGAGCTGAACCAAACCGCCTGCAGAGTATCTCCCTGCTGGGCATCATTGTCTTCACCTCCTACATGGAGAAGTCCCATCAGTGGCGTCTTCCTTGCTTCTCTAAACCGGGACTGCTGCTATTAAGCAGATATCTGTGAAGATTAAATATGAAGCTGCTCTCAAGATGAGATCTAATGTCTAACTTAATCTTATTTAGATCTCATCATTGTCCTCGAGATTGAGATCTGATGTTTAACTCAACCTTATTAGGATCCAATCATCATCTTCACTACCTCCCTATGGAGAAGTCCCGTCGTAAGCAACTCCTCTGCTTCTCTAAACCGGGACTGCTGCTATTAAGCAGATAAAGGTATATAATCAAGTTTCGTGTGATCTTTGTGAACAATTAAAGACGAAATTGTGACTATCTCCTCTAACACATGATAAGCCTTCATATAAACTCATCTTATTATTTCTAGTTATGTATAAGAGACAGCTGGTAACGATCATCCAACTCTAGAGCTATTAAATTCTCTGGCCTAATCAACTTTGTAAGTGTTACCTTAATTTACATATATTTGTCGCAATTTATTCACATTTAGCACATTGTAAGTGTTATCTCAATACCTAATTGTTGTTACAACTTATTCACACTTAGCACACCTGGAGCAAATTTTAATGTAAACTTGGCTAATTTTATTCATTTAAATCATTCTAATACCAATTTAATATTTATGCAACCCGTGACTGATGTATTGTTTTTCAGTTCACGGGTCCTAGCTCAGTATCGCTGTACCAGAAATAAAGAATATAAGAGACTCATGTGTATTAAAGAGGTGCGCAATAGAGAAATGATGTTGCCCCATCATGTTAATAGCTAAACAATACCTGTGCATCTAGGTATCGTATCTAGGGAAAATGCTAAAATTCCCAAAACGGGCACACCATTTAGCTTTCTAAATTATTAATAATTACTCAATTAGAACAATAAAAAATCTTAGAAACATAATCCTGGTAAAAACTAGTTATCAACAACGCCCTAAAATCTTAAAATATAAAACAAATTCTCAAGTTAGATTGTGAACTTAACAATTATTTACTCATATTTTGTTAAGATGGATTTTGTTAAATTTTTTCTTCATTTTCCCACATTTTTTATTCTGAGGCAATTCCTGTATCATAGCATCAAATTCCTCCTTTGGACAGATGTTCTGTGTTCTGTAGTAGTCAACAAACCCTACATTTTCACGGACTATATCCTAAACATATTAGACTACAATAGTCTGTCTTCTATAGTAGTCAACAAACCCTACATTTTCACGGACTATATCCTAAATATATATTAGACTACAATTAGACTAGTATTTGGGACTTGAGTTCCCAATGTGTTTCAAAATTGTATACAGCATGGAATACTGCTATTAGAATTCTTTTTAATGTACCTAGAGATACGCATAGGTACTTGATTGAAAGTATTTCACAATGTTTACATGTAAAAACTATGTTAGCTAGCAGATGTGTGTCTTTCTATGAGACTATTGAAGCAAGTTCTAAGCTTTGCATTAGATTTCTTTCTAATTTATGTAAAAATGACCTCAACACAGTTCTTGGCAGAAATTTATTTTGTATTGCAAATGATTGTTCTGTAAATCCTTCCAATCTTAGTAAAATGTTAGTTAAGAAACAAATAAAATATTTTGATGTCCCATTGGAACATGAATGGAAAGTTCCGGTTTTACAAGAACTTTTAAGTACAAGAATGAATAATTTATATGTTGAAGGATTCGATGATTACGTAATAACTGAAATGATAAATATGTTATGTAGTGAGTAAAAATCATTGTTTTCTATTTGTGCATAATTTTGCATATTTTTTTTTCTCTTTTCTTTTGGAAACCTGTGTTTTCAAAAAAAAAAAAAAAAAAAATTTATTTAAACAAATTTTAACTACACCATTTATATATGTATTTATATCTTTGTGTGTGAATAAATCTTTATAATAATAATATAATATGCTGTGTTTTATAGTAGTAGACAAACCCTACATTTTCACGGACTATATCCAAAATATATTAGACTACAATATTCTGTGTTCTATAGTAGTCAACAAACCCTACATTTTCACGGACTATATCCTAAATACAATAGACTACAATATTCTGTGTCCAACAGTTGTCAACAAACCCTTCATTTTCACGAACTATATCCTAAACATATTAGACTACAATATTCTGTGTTCTGTGTTATGTCAACGAACCCTACATTTTCACAAACTATATCCTAAATATAATAGACTACCATATTCTGTGTTCTGTAGTAGTCAACAAACCCTACATTTTCACGAACTATATCCTAAATATAATAGACTACAATATTCTGTGTTCTGTAGTAGTCAACAAATCCTACATTTTCACGAACTATATCCTAAACACAATGTACTGCAATAAACTGTATCCTGTCGTTAGCAAATCCTGTATTTTCATGGTCTATATCCTAAATATTCTGTATTTGTAGAAGTCCAAAAATCCTGTATTTTCACGGACTATATCCTAAATACAATGTATTACAATAAACTGTATTTTGTAGTCAACAAATCTAGTATTTTCACGGTCTATTATATCCTAAATTTATTTAAACTTCAATATTCTGTATTCTGTAGTAGTCAATAACCCCTGTATTTCCAAGTATTAAATTCTAAAATAAAAGACTACAATTACAATATTTTGCAGCCAGAATTAGTCATTAATTAGAATTAATGACTAATTCTGGCTGCAAAATATTGTAATTGTAGTCTTTTATTTTATTAAATTCTAAAATAAAAGACTACAATTACAATATTTTGCAGCCAGAATTAGTCATTAAACTAGTATTGCCAAAGACTATATTTTAAGACAAAAAGACTACAATTACAATATTTTGCAGTTAGAATTAGTCATAAACTAGTATTCTCAATGAATAGTAAAAACAATGGAGAAACTGAAAACGAGAGAGATTTTCAAAATATTTTAAATCAAGAATATCCTATTTCATTAGTACTGTGTAAAGTACTTGAAAACTTATATTATATTTCTTCCCCCGTCATCACATGAAACCACTTTTGAATTCTAAAATTATGATCTCACACTTTAGTACATATAAGGTTATTAAAAAACGAAAGATTTTTAAAAATGGTAGTTTTTTAAAAACGATCGTTTTAAAAACGATCTTTTCGTTTTTCGTTTTTTCTTTGACGTTTTTGAAACCAAACGATCGTTTTTCAAAAAATGAAAACGACCCATCCAGAAGTAAACATATTTGACACATCAAACTTGAAGGTTGTTGGAACCAGATTCAATGAAAAGCGAGAAGTAGTTGAACCGCTTATCGCCGGTTCACCAAGGGACCGAATTCAATCAATTTAAACTAACTACCACCGGTTCAAATTTAAAACATCGATTAAAATCCTCATGAATCTCTAATTTGAATGGAAGGTTAAAGATTTGAACCAATGATAGAAAGTTCAGCGATCTACCTCAAATCATTAAATTGGATCCCTGCTGGCTTAACTGTTTACCTTGTAACCTCTATTCTTCCCTTCCTCTGTGTTCCGATCATCTATCCGTTGTCCTGACTCATCATATACAGGAGTAGGCCTGAACAAAACAGAGGTCGACATTTTTAAATTATTAATCTGTTCAAAACCTGCTCTTTGTCGGTTCCCCTTCGATTCAAATCTTTTTTTATGTCTTGGTGGATTCAAACTTTTAATCTATATCATTTAAATAAAAGGTTTACAATGTGGAATTACTTTATGTGGCATGTTACTGTTATTATTATAATTGATTGATAAATGAAGTCTCCCTCAATAACCTTTGACTCAAAAAAGCAGACTACATTTGTTAAATCCCAAGACTAGAAATATACCAAGCATGTTACTGTTATTAGATGTATCGAAAAATGAAGCGTAAATTGACGACGATATTTGGAAAAAGTAACCCCGAGGTTTGAGGACCATCCTTCTTAAAGTACTTTCAAGTGTTCTTTAGAAACCCATTATCCGTAACAACATCCGTAACAACATCCGTAACAACATCCGTAACAATATCCGAAACAATATCCGTAACAACATCCGAAAGGACTGGATTAAGGTTTTCCAGTTTTCAATAAATTATGTGATTCTGGTTAAATTGGATAGAATCTGATCCAATTTTAAGTTAAAAGCAAGCATTAAACCATATGATACGGGGTAACAACAACAAATAAGACGAAATTGGCAAATTTTTACTGTGGGCAATTTTTTTTCTCAGTCGTTTTCTAATATTCCTGTTTCCCTGCGACTGTAAACTGGAAATTTCTTAACAAATAAAATCTTTCATTTACAATTACAATTTTTATAGAAAAAAATTTAAAATTTAGATCCTTTTATTCATCCTTTGTGGGTAACCCTGTATACTGTAATACACGGCTATTTTTTCAAATATATAAAACATTTATATTCGCTTGAAACAAAATGACTTTTTATTCTCTCTATATTGGAATCTTAAAGCATGGTCGATTAACAACGGTACCGTTGAAATCTTTGTCAAATAAATGTAAAAGATAACATTGTTTTTCTAGCAGCTTGTAAATTGGTTTATTCCGTTAATCTTTCCATTGCTTCTAAAGAAAGAAATGCGCAAGTTACTTTTGTAATCACAACTAGAAATAATTAGTAAAGGAATTGATTTTTTTTACCACAATCTCAAATTTTCTAATCCCTATATCTTTGCAGCCTGATGGTGTAACCCTTTGATATTTCAAACCTAGATTATTTGATCTAACAGAATTCATAGTTTGAAATATATAAGATCAAGATCTACGACGTTTGGTTGCACAGATAACAGGACTATAAAATCAGAGTTTGTGGCAAAGACTCAATTCCTTTGAAAACTAAGCCATATCCAGGGGATATTCAACCCAGAACAGGGTGGTAACTCCTCTAAAATGACAAAAAAGCTAAAGCCCCCCCCCCCCACCCCATATAGGCTGTTTAAAAGGAAAGTTACAGGAGTCTATTGAGAAGGTGTGGATAATTATTCTGCCCCCCCCCCACTCTTCTTTATTCTTTATTCTTAACAGTTTATGGACATCATAGTATTGCAAAAACATTATATTTCAAAAACTGAGTTTTAAATGAAATAAGAATAATTTTCGGTCCTAGAAGCAATAGCAATCGCTTAATATTTCAGTAATATTTCTTTTTCTAAAACCAAAATATAAGTCAAACTTCCCTTTAACAAGAATAAGTACAAAAGAAATTTTTTCTTTCAAAATCCTTTGCGAACATGTTTTGCTCCTATGGAGAACTGTATCTCTGTATCTCAAGTTTTCCATCCTTTCAGGGATTACTTGCAGGACTCTAGGGAATGGTCTAATCCCGACAGGGGTATATATATTTCAATTACGTATATATATTTACCGTTAAGTAAGAAATGTTGGCAATTTTTTTTTGCAAGTATCATCGCGCAAAAAGAAAATGTATGAATTTCGAATAAGTATTTAAAACCTTGATATCGAAATAAATCCATTAACCCCTGGATTCAATGATAGAGTTTATCTCCATTCCCTGGGTTTATCTAGCATCAAATATTGGAAACACTGATAAACCACACAATAAGGATTTACTAGGATATTTCATATTTGAATCTAGAAATACTATATTTAAATAGGAAATACTAAATCAGGTCTAAAACGAGGCCATATATCTTCAATCGCAATACAAATTGATTCAAATGAATTTAATGTATGTAGGCATTTCTTCATACTTCATAAAAAAAGACCAACCATTAATTTTAAAACATATTTATTTTGATATTTTTGATTTCTCATCTCCGCTTAAAACCTTCAATACCTGTCTCTTCTGGGCTTATTGTTCTTTCCCCTTCGTCGAATCCCTCCCATTTTTGATCTGAATAAAATTATTTAATCAATAATAGAGAGACCAAAAAAACAGAAACCGAATAGAAGTAACCTAAGAGAGGAAACCGAATAGAAGTAACCAAAGAGAGGAAACCGAATAAGAGTAACCAAAAAATGGAAACTGGAGAACGCAAACCAGAAACCGGAAACAAGTGTCAGGGAAACGAAACCGGAAACAAAAGACCGGAAACCAAGAATTAAATTGAACGTCCATCAAAGACCTTGAACAAAAGACCAGACACCAGGGACCGGTAATGAATAAGAGGACACCAGAGACCGGTAACGAACCTCAACCAGAGATCAGTATAACGAAACACAGGAAACCAAAGACCGATTATGAGTGAGTGGACAACCAAGACCGGAAAGATAATGGAAATGCAGAAAACAAGAGTTCGGTAACGAAAGACAAGAAACCAAAGATAGATAAGTCGAGACTGATAACGAAAGACTGGGAACCAATCACAGACTGGGGCACCACAAGCCAATGACCTAATACAAGAAACCTGACGCCAACACACTAAAATAGTACAATGCTGTTCTTGAAAAAATATCCAAGGTTAATTCGTCAACAAATAATACAAAATTGGCCCGAAAATGAAAATATAAAAATTATAAAATACAACCTTTGGACATATTAACAACTAACAATGGACAAATTGAACATGTAACAATACACAACAATATATTTTCACAATTTTCACATAATAAAAACAGTTATCTAAAGAGAACATAAATGAATAATCTGTCAGGACCCATGACCAATATTTCAGACATAATCTTGCAACTCTTCCAATTTTCTTTTCTTTAGATTGTATTTCCATCTAAGCCACAGATTTGATCCAAGCTTTCAGAGGCTCTAAAATATAAAAAAAATCATTCTTTCTAAAAATAAAACCCCTGAGACTAGATTTAATGAATAGAGAGAAGAGAGAAATGGTTGAGCCATTAGACAAATTTGAACCACTTCTTTTCAACTTAACCCGCCACACAAGAAACGAGATTCAACTATGTCTACGCGGTTCTACTGATGTGGTTTAAAATATACCAGCCACAATTCTTTATAATTTTGTTATTTATTCTATCGGTAAGGATAGCGCTGAATCCGGGAAATATCGGTTAAATTCGGAGTCCTATTAAAATTAACAACGTTAAGAAAACATGCTTCTTAAATAACCATTGTTAAAGAGATATTTTTGTATATTTTCACACCTGCCACTCTTAATTGGATGTTCCTTAAAAACCTACGTCTATCAATATCCATTTTATCCAACCCCCAGTTACCTAGAGTATCAGCTTGCTGGGCAGAAATCTCCAAGAATTCCACCTTCATGCCCAGATCTGGTTCCATTCAATTCATTTTTAGTATTTTATTACTTTTACCAAGAACAATATAACATTTCTTAAACATTTCATTTATCATTTATTTATTTAGAAGGTTCGATGATATCTTTTTTGTTGACACTAAAACTGTATGTTTTCAAAGCTTTATTTTTGATGATTTAGTGGACATTTTAACACGTTGATCTTAACTTATTTTGCGGTTCCGATACAGGGAGATGAATTTTTTTAATCCAAATTGATTCCGATCCTAAGATTTGTTTAAACGAGTACCATATCCCCCCTTTCTTGGATCTTGTAATATTTTGCTAATAAAAAATGCATCTTTGAAAAACCCTTGATAGAACGAAGACGACAATAATTTCTTAATATTCATGCTACTCCTAGAGGAGAGGGGAAGTGTGATGGAATCTAGAAACGTAAATGGAGTAGAGCTTTCAAAGATCCAATGTGTCAAGTATAAGTAATGCATTTGCATTTGAATAAAAGATGGTTGTAAGCCGTTGATTAAATATTCATGAGAGATTACCGTTACAGCCAGATATATTAGTAGATAGTTGGAATGGAAAGGGGTATACAATTTGCTAAAATATGAATTGGAGGAAAAAGTGATTTTAAGAAGAATATACTTTTTTTGGGATAGGTAAGGATTAAAGAACCTCTTAAGGTCTTAAACAGATTTTAAGGGAAGGATGAATGGATGAAAACATATAATTAATAATGTATTAGCAGATGGATGAATGATAGATAAAAATGTAGATTGATACCGAGTACATTGATGGATAGACTTGATTATAATTAGATGCATCAGTGGTTAGGATCCAGATCCGGATACGTTGGATCCGCAAGATTTTGGCTATCTGGATCCGGATCCGGAAAAATATGAACAAAAACCTGCAAAAAAATCTTATAAAATTTCCTGATTTCTGAATGGTTTATCATGAAAAAACTCAGTAAATCTTAAAGAAATGACCTGGATCCGGATCCATTTTTTTCCAATGCAGATCCAAGATCCGGATTAAACAATAGATAGATGAATAGAGAAATCATGGATGGATTAAATAAGAGATCTATGAAGTTTGATGGATTAAATCTAAACTTTAAATCCAGGAGAGAAAACTCACCAAACTTCCGAGCAAATCCTAACTTTGGGAGACATTTTAAACAAATTTCTAACTTGGAATTTAGATTTAAGAAGATAAATAACATATACTTCGACTACATTTACAATTGCTTCAAGGCAAACGTTAGATATAAACAATTTAGAACCTAAGCATTTTCTTGAAGTTTAAATGAAATTGAACATTCCTGAAAAACTGAAATCCTTTCCAGGCTTTCCCAGATAAATATGATCCACAGACTCACCATCCAGTCCTAGATAGATAGATTGAATGATAGATGGTTGATAACTTATACCATCGATATGTCCTATATTGTGCCCACATTGATCTGATCTAAAGTGTCCAAGATTAACAATATCCACTTAAAGGTCCGATCTTAGATAAAACCGAATTCAGTTTTGATTTTCCATTTGGTAAATTTATTGTTTCAGCTTCTTTCATTTAACATTCTTGAAAGTTAACTTTATCTTTTGAATTACGATCAAGAATACAGAACAACCTTTCGATATATGTAAAATAAGACAATTCAAAGTTTACTGTTAATCTATAAATATACTTTGCTTGCTTGTGTGTCTGTTTGTTTGTTTGTTTGCATCCAATAATAGGCTGAACCGATCGGGCCCAAATCTTGAATTGGACCTCACATCGATCGAAATTTCAAAAATTAGCCTCCATCAAAATTCCATTTTTACATAGAAAATCCAAGATTTCTTTTTTATAAAATCCGCGAATTGTTTTACAATGTATAAAAAGAAGAAATGTTCACAATTGAAATAGAAGGTGATTGCTAAGCGCCCTAAAAGCCTAGTAATGTAAATTTTCCCATCTATCCCTTCGGTTTTCCTATAATTACCTTCCAATCTGTTGGATTGTGAGACACGAAGCGCAGAGATTTCTTTCTCAAGCAGGCTCTAAAGCAATGTTAAAGATGACTATAGAATTCTAATTTACTTGTTTTGATGAATAGTTAGTTTGCGGCTTAGCACACATTATAGGCGTTAAGCCGTTAGCAAGATGTATGAAACATAAAAAATATCCAAAGATTATTTATATTTCCAGCTTCAAAACTTAAACCTTTGTATATTCTCCTCTTGGTGCATTTTTATTCTCATTTATTCATTTTCCCTGCTAAATAAAATCGCATTGCACAAAAATAGATATCAGCATATGAAATTCATCAATTTTCAAATAGGATCAGAATACAAAAATATCTCCTTTAATTAAGTTTAAAGAAAAGGTCAAAAGGGTATTATCGTGAATCAAATCTTCAATTTTGTAATGGATGGTTACTTAAAACTTCATTAACAGTCCTTTATAACTCTTTTATACCTGGATAACCTTAGATCCTTTGACAAGCCCAACATCCTGCTTGTTACAAGCCACTAAGACTCTAGGCCTAAAAAGGGGTGTTTACTGTTTATATTTAAAAGGGGGTTGGCGCAATTATTAAGAAATTGTTCTCCCTTAAAAAAATAGCAAGAAAACAAAGAGCTTAAAAGAGGGGGAACCTAAACAAATGTAAAACAATATTTAATTAAACATTTGTTTCAAGTAGTCACCAGAACAAAAGTGAAATGACGAGCAACCGCATTATTAATCTAAAATGTGTTTTAACAATTGAAAAATTATAAGAAATATGAAGAAGAAACATTCTGTTTCATTTTCTGGTAACTACTATATTTGTGTTCCTAACTCTGTAAAGAAAAGACAATTATTTTGAAAACTTAAATATGACGACTATTTTGAAAATTAGAATTTGACGTCTATTTTGAAAATTTGAATGTGACGCCTATTTCGAAAATTAGAATCTGACGTCTATTTTGAAAATTTGAATATGACGACTATTTTGAAAATTGAATATGACGTCTATTTTGAAAATTTGAATGTGACGCCTATTTCGAAAATTAGAATCTGACGTCTATTTTGAAAATTTAAATATGACGACTATTTTGAAAATTGAATATGACGTCTATTTTGAAAACTTGAATGTGATCTTATTCTAGGCCCCCGGTGCCCCTGGGTGTAGGGGGGTTAGAGCTGTTGTACGCTTCCCCGGCCCGGTACAGAGCAGGTGTACTGTCAGCTGTTGCGTACTGCGGCCCTAGTTGGGCCGGTTCTCAGGTAGTATCTTCAGTCTACCTTCTGATTCTGTTGGTGTAACATATATTTTACACACTTTATTTTACAATAATTCCGGGTTCTGGTTTTTTCCAGAACTTTCTTAATTTCACGTGGGACTTTATACTGTATCTCGATTTACCACTTACTTTTTTCTTATATCTTGTTTAATTAGTTCTTAGTATTAGAGCTTTTTTATTTTAATTATCTATATATTACTTTTTCTTAAACCTTTTCTCAATGAGAAGCTTGCAAACGGTTATGTGCTATCGGAACCTGCTTTTAATTTTGAATATTTTCTTAAACAAGATTTTATTAAATTTTTTGATTAATACCCTTACTCATTTCTCTTTTTCAGCATTATGAGAAAGTCTAAACAAAGACTTATTGGAGGTCAAGTTTTCTCAGGCTCCGACCCTATCCCTAATAATATCCTCACCTCCCTCGTAACTAACGGGCTAGGCCCGGCAGCTAAACCTACTCTAACCTCCTTTGGTTGGAATGGGAAAGTGATAGGAGGTATAGCCCTTTGGCTAGGCTCAGATAACTCTTCCGTCTCCAGAGGATCTTTTTTCCTTATGGGAGACCTTCTAGAATCCCCTTATGTTGTCCCGGCCAAAAAGATTTGGCCAGACGCAGCAGAATATATCTCCCTCTCCCTACCTCTCTCTACCGCGGAAATGTTTTCTTTCCCTAACTCCCTAGCTAGCGACTATATTGAAGATATTGCCCTCGCCCACTCCTTTCAATTTAATGATGCTAGAATCGCCACCCCCCCCTCGGAAGAAGATCTTGAGAAAGCCAACCTGGGCGATTTCTGCCTTCGGGCTTTTGCATACCCCTCTACTACTAACTGGATAAGAGTCTATATCCTCATTTTCCCTTGCTCCATTGAAGACCTGCGTTCCCATGCTCTCTACTCCAACCCTAAATGGCCGGGGATTTTAATCTATGATTGTCAAATCCCTCTGTTTCCCCTTACTGCGTCTAAGAAAATCAAGTATGGCTGCCCCTTATTCCCCCTGCTGATCCCGTCCTCCCCGTCCCTACCTGTGAACGAGAACCTCTCTACCAAGGACCTCTCCTCTAAAATTGCCTCCATCATGAGGACCGGAGTTCTGCCTGAATCTGTAAGAACTGGAGATCACCTCCTAACAAGATGGCTTTCGTTAGATGAGGAAGGGGCTAGGGGTCTAGATGCAACCCCCCCTCCTACGCTTTGGCCTGCTCCTCGTTCCTCCTCCCCTCCTCCTCAGGGTAAGTCCAGTTGTCCCCCCCCCTTTTTTCTTAGGCCTCTTTCCCTCTTTTATTTGGTACCTCCTAGGACTGGGGTTTATAGGGGGTTTTTGCTACCTATTGGTTCCCCTTCCCCCCCATTTTTTCCCTCCTCTAGTTTGGTTTTTTTTTTGGGCGTCTCCTTTTCTTTCTTTTTGGTCCCTTTAATGTTAATATCTTAGTTATAACTTGTCATGGCTAGGTTTTTATGCTCTCTCTAACTTGAATTCCCTCTCCCACTCCCAGTCTTTTTTCTATCTTTATATTTTAATTAATTCTTTCTTCTTTTTAAAATCTAATTATTTTTCCCTCTATATTGCTACTCTTATGCGAAACCTGTTTAAAGTATTGTTTCTCAGAGTTTATTTTGTTATACTCAGAGTTATACTGGAACTCTATCTTTTTGGTGCTCACAAAGTTGTACTGGAACTCTGTTTCCCTTTCTTTTAAGGTTTTTTTTAACCATTTTTCTTCTTTCTTATTTAATTTTAAACTTTTCTCCCTCTACATTACTACTTCTATTCGGAACTCTGTTCAGTTTACTATTTCTCAGCTTTTTATAATGTGGAACTCAGAGTTTTAATGGAACTCTGTTTTTTCTTTGGCTCAGAGTTATAATGGAACCCTGAGCTCTTTTTATGGAACCCAAAGTTATATTGGAACTTTGGAACTCCGTCAATGTTTTTTGAGTTATATTGGAACTCAAAATTTAATCACCTCACCCAAAGTTATATTGGAACTCTGGAACTATATCAGTGAACTCGGAGTTATATTGGAACTCTGAATCTCATCTCCACTCCCAAGAGTTATAGTGGAACTCTGGAAATATCTCAATGAACTCAGAGTTATATTGGAACTCAGGATTTATTTCAGCGAACTGAGTTATATCGTAACTCTGGAATTATCTAAGTGAACACAAGAGTTAACTTGAAACCAAGAACTATCTTTATGGACTCAGAGTTCTAGTGGAGCTCTAGAATAACAAACATTCCTATTTCAGGAATTGTTCTCAAGGAAGTACAGGGCTTCAAATACAGCAAAGCTGGGCTTTTCTCGAGTGCTGAACTGAACCACCTAAACCTACCTCTAGGAATGAAAACCAGCCTAGCCATAATTCTCAATCATTCAATAGCAAAGGGAACCTGGAGCACTTACAAGACCGTAGGAAGAATGCTACTGAAGTGCCAACTTGACACGAAGACAAGAATGGATTTTCCGCTAGATGTAAAGAAAATCATCATCTTCATCTATTGGCTGTTTAATACGAGGAAAGTAACAGCCAACACTGCGAACTCCTACCTTTCAGGACTAAGATACTTACATATAGTGAGAGGAATTGAAATTCCAATGCTGAGACCACCAATTGTGGAGCAACTTTTGAAGGGCAAACAACACCTGGATGCCATTGAGAGGAGCCAGTCCAACAAACCTAGGAGAGCCCCAGTCACTCTAACAATCATGAAACTGTTAAAAAAAGCAATAGTTGCCTGGGACACCTCAAAGGAAGATAGATCCTTGGTCTGGACCACCTGCACCTTGGCCTTTGCAGGATGCCTACGAATACATGAGATCCTGAGTAGGAAAACCTCCGAGTTTGATCCAAACTTTACCCTTCTAGGAAGTGATGTAATGATCAAGAAAACTAAGTTGGGGAAAGAAAATATTAAAATAATCCAACTCCGCCTCAAATCCCCTAAAGAGGACAGGATAGGGGTCGGGAAAATAATAGACATCTACCAGTGCGGGGGACCTATTTGCCCCGTAAAAGCCTTTGAAAGATGGGACTCAATGAGGACATGGAGACAGAAAAGCTCACCCCTGTTCAGAATGAAAGATGGTTCCTGCCTAACAGGAAGGAAATTAAACACCCTACTCAAGAAATTTCTATCTCCTCATCTTGATTACAAAAAAGGAATGTTCTCCTCCCACCGCTTCAGAGCAGGCATGGCTACTTTGATGGGCACCTTGGGGTTCAGCGACGAAGATATG